CCATTGTAAAAATAATTGAAATTTTGTTAAACTACTAACCATAAGTTAGCATAATACATAGAGTTTTTTACTTTTTATAAAAACATTTTCTTTCAGATAACCAAAAATAACTTTTTATTCTTTTTAGACTTCACCAACTTTTATTTCTTAACGAAGGAAAGGATTCTGTAAAAGCTTTAATATTTGTACAATATGTATACTTGTGTTTAAAATATATGAAGGAAACATTTATATTGAATGTTAAGTTTATATATGCTATCACATGAACACATGAACTTAGCAAGCATCATATTTAAGGCTGCACTTCTCACATTATCGATTTAATTATATCATAAAAATATGTATCTATGCTGCCATTATACCGGATTTCAGTCATAAGCCTTTATTTTATAGACCAATAATATAGCAATAACAATATGTTCAGGTTGTTAATTTTTTCCTTTGTGCATATATGAGTCATGAAATTAAAGTTGCTGGTGTGATGAACGCTTTGAGTATCCTTCCAATGTCAATCAATTGCATATAAACAGTTTCCGGAACTGTTGCTTGCTTTCATTATTATATTACATTATCTCATGTTGCCGAAAGTAAATTTATGTGCTTTTTATTAAGTCACTTACATAAAGTTTTAAATTAAAAGACGTATTTAACTCATAAATATTTAATTGCAAGCAAATTCTTCATAAATCACAACAACTCTATATCAAAAGACCTTACTCAAAAGTGATTTTATAATAATATAACTCATATTTTATTTATTATTAAAATAACATGCTCTGGCTTAAGTAAATTCAATTGACCTTTTAGATTGAAAAAACCACAATATCGTTTAACTTGACATATGCCAAAATTTATTTTATACTCTTCCAAAGCTTCCTTAAGGCATTTCAATTAAAATATCATGAATTTCAATATAATTTAGTCATGAGAATGAGTAAATATATCAAAACAGATTTATTTAAAACCAACAAACGTCAGAAAATTCAATTATAAAATGTTCGAAAAAAGCATAAATCATAAAATACTTTATAGATTTTGTTGCAAATTAAGTCAATAAAAATCCTTACATAAACAAGAAGAAAATCAAAAATTTATTGTTTTCTATTAGAAATTCACTATTAAATAATGCATAAGTACGAATAGTAAACAGTAAGTCAGCAACTAAAAGTTGTTACTAGAAGTCAAGCCAACAAAGTTTATAGGCACAACTGCAAATTGCAGTAAAAGTTTTTATGGCTTTATGTCTTCGTAGTCCGAAGAGCAGTTAAAATACTTGTAATACATTTTGTATATTTTAGTATACAGTATAGAGTCTAACTGCAGTACGTATAGAGGCAGTAAGTGCATCATCATGTTACCTGCATACAAAACCAATAAAAATGCTCAAATAGATTTATCGTCTTTTGCAACAATCGTTGCGTTTTTAGAGTACTCAAAAGAATCCCATTGTATTGTTAGCCATGCAAAACAAATAGTATAACTTATTTAGCCTATGTTAACTACGATTAAGTTCTGCAATAGTAGCTACAGATTCAAATGCAATGCTGCATTAAAAAAATTCCATCTCATATTTAACTATGTCTCTTATTTGCTGCTTGTATATGCTCCAACCTAAAGTTTTCTAATTGTCAGCCATAAAGTAGGTCAGTACTTGACAAAATTAATTTGTAAATATTTTCTATGACTTTTAAACACTTTAAAGTATTTTAAGTGATTTATTAAATTAAGTTACAAAATGTGACAGTCACTGTACTGCACCGAGTCCCCCCAACTCCACACGTCTTTCACAGTTCATGTTTATTAATTTGTCACAGCATTTTAAGCAATTTTTACTGACCATTAATTTTTACTGCTTCTAATATTAGTTGCGAAAATAAAACAGAATACTAAAATACAAAAACAAAAAAAAACAAAAAAAAACAAAAACTATATAAGAAAATTAGAGAAGATTCTGCACAATAAAAAGTTTCTGAAGGACTAATTGGTTTCTTTTTCAGATTTTCTAGTAAAACTAATAACAACAAAAGCAGTACAAATTTCAGCTGAAAAGTGTGCTACGATTTTTTCTTTGCCTTGTCAGTTAGTTGCTTTTGCTTGTGGCCTGTGTGCTGTGTCCTATGTCCTTCTGTATGACTGACAGCAGCAAGATTAATGCGACAGTCTTTGAATAAATCCATTGCCCGAAAAAATATCTTAATGTTATTAATTATATTACATCATAAAGTATACAAAGAAGCAAAGAAGTTGCAAAAAATTAAAAGAAACAAATTTGCAATTAAAAATAGAAGTATAATTAAATAGCAGCAAATACTGGTTTAACTTTTAAAACAAAAGTTTTCTTAGCTTTAATTACTTAATGCTATTTTTTTTTTCATCAATAGAAAAAATTCATCTAAGACTATTAACAAAATTCGTTTATGACTTAATGCCTTTATTGTTTTCAATGCATATAAATGCTTTAACAGATCAAATAAATATTTAATTGGGTTTCGCATAAGGTTTTGGCATAAAGCACAAATTGGATGAGCCCTAAAGGACAATAACATCAATTAATTTAATCCGCTTGAGTAGGATTTAGATATTGCATTAGGAATTAGGAGTGAGAATTGATGCATATGTACGTTGTGAAAACAAATAAGTAATAATTTATTAATAATACTTAATAATCATTAACATGTGCTTTAATTTTATTTTAATATGAAAAATTATTCGGTAATCATCAAGAAATTACGCAAAAGCACTAAAACTCTGTAAAGTAGGTAGGTAGCGGCCTTGTTTCCAAAAAGCCAACTTGAGCTCAAATAATGACCCATTGTGGTGCCACAGGAACAGCATTGGTACGTATAAATATTGAAATTAGTATACAACCATTAGGTAAAGGAAAATCAAACTGACAGTTCTATAAATTTGGTTATGTCCCTATTATTACAGGATGACAGCTTGGTCAGATTGGTGAGAAAAGGGGCTCCGAAGATTCTTGATTTTCTCCTAGCTAAAAAATAGCATTGACACATTGTATGCAGCACTGTCTTCTCCTATTCTGTAGAGCCACAGCCTCGAGGTGAGTCATTTTAGGGTTGACCTAGTCTCATAACATGCCTTTCTATTTGCGCAATGGTCACCACTTGATTTGTGCAATCGCTTGATTCTGATTCTAAATCGTAAAGATATGTTGTAACCATTATGTCACTAATATTATACTCTAAAAAAACAAAAAAATTAGAATATCAAGAAACATCAGGTAATATAACTTTGTGATGTATATGAAGTAGTTTTAAGATTAAAGTGCCTATTGTTAGTCTCTAGAAGAGAAAATTCAAGAAATAACTTCAGAGTATGAAACCAAAAAACTATATATTAGACCTATTGCGACTTGATACAGATCAGTTATTTGAGACGTAGAGTTTGAAGTCCGAAGGCTTTGCTAAAATTAAATAAGTGCAAGTGGTTAATTTTTCAGTAGTTTAAAACTAGGTTTTTTGTAATTAGATGGCTGACAAATTGGTGGTTATACATTTATTCATTAAACAACTGCCTATTATAATGAAATCAATTAAAAGTTTATAATCCTCACACTCTTCCAAAATAATTTGCTGGACATATGAGTATCTTTTAATTGTAGTAGTTACCCATGCTTTGCTTCAAAATAAATCCTTTTGAATAATTAATATTATATATTCAGCATTTAAACTTAAAAACAAAACGTAGTAAATTCTTAAGTGAAAGTGTCAGCTTAAAGCTGATATGATTTTAAAAATGTGTCCTTAAAATCATTTGCGTGTGATATTCAATGTTTGAGTGAAAGTACAAGTTCTTATTAGCGTAAAAGCATTAAAAATGATATATCATTTTAAATACTCGTACTTTTGTCTTCATACTCGTTTCGAGTGAAAAGTATCTGCAGTAAAATGACAACGAAGCGAAATAAAAATAAAAAATAAGAAATCATTCGTATGTACTGAAAGGACATGGAAATGTAAAAATCTCAAATGACAAAAGCACTCAAACGTGGTATATATAATGTTATAAAACTGTTAATACACATATGTAGTCGTATATATGTAGAGATATATGCTGTTTTAAAAAAGATTACATATACATCTCAAGAATTTTTAAAAGCACATGTGTTTTTTATGGCTTATCTTCAACAAAAATTAAATGCGAAAAAACTCAGTTAACAAGTAAAGTAAGCATGGATGCGACAGGCGAGAAAACTTATAAACAATATAAAATTACAAAAACAAAAATGAAAATGAAAATAAAAATAAAAATGAAAAATAAAAAAATAAGTGTGACTTTTAGCGTTTTTTAAGGATATGAAAGTTTCAGTTTTATGTTTCAGTATCCTGTTTGGAAAGTGTGTTTAATGCATTTGTAGAATGAACTCGTTAAAACTGCTTAAAATTAACTTAATAAGGTTAAATACTTAACATGCATAAAAATGCATAAATATGAAATTTTCAACTCATATTCATTTTATTTTATAATTTTGCAAATTTCCAACAGATAATTTATACAATGGCGCGGAGTCAGTTGTCGGGATTTTTTTAAATATTTGTTAATGAAAATTTAATTTAAAATTAAGGCTTTCGGTTTTCAATGTTTATGGAAAATAATAAAATAATATCGGTTTAATTACTGATTGCCCTGACTTAATTGACAGCTTAATTATGGACACTTAATTAATTAAAAATCTTTTTTTTTGTTTTGCTTTTAATATAACAAATGCACCACAATTGCATTTTCATTTTCAAAAATTGGTTAATCAAAAAATATTGGTTTGTCATTGGATATATCCACTTATGTTTGCTTTTTCCAATATTAGTAATAAATTCATTAAATGACACATGAAAACTTAAACCAAATTTTTTACGTGCTTAGAATGCGCTTTTAAAGGTGTGTGCTTTTAAATCTTGCAATTCTGATTTTTATAGAACAAATATACAGAAAAATCATAAAAACTTTATGTTTATGATTAAATTATAAAAATTGTACTCTAGCTATTTACCAATGGATATAGTACCGCAGCGCTTAACAAAAGTCAATGGAAAGAATTGAAAAATTTGAAACTCCTCACAGCAAAAGAGTATAGAGTTGAGCACTAAGTAAACCATACTCAGCTCCTTACTGTTTATCAACACTTAAGAACCATTTTCCATTATTAATCCAACGCAGTGGCACAATTTACCGTTGCACTTTAGCTTTGTTTAGAAACCTCTAATTTCTTATCCTTTCGCTTATTTCCTACTCCATTCTCCTATGTTTTGTTGATCTTTCGTTAGTGCCATTGCTCCTTTGGCATGTCACAAACAGTAGACATAAGCTTTGTTGTGGCGAAAAAGAAAAATCCTGTCAAAAAGCATACACACATACGCACAACTAAGAATACCTAAGGATAGAATCTAAGTGACACATGTTGGCGTTGTTGTAAGTCCAAGTAGTGGGCAAAGTAACAAATACTACTTACCGTGCCAAACAAAATATTTTATTTTCCTACTTGCTAAGCTTAAGGATTCTTTTTCTTGGCAAGTTTATTTTCTTTAGTGATATTTCTTCAAAATTTTTGCTTTCTTTATTTCCTCCTTAATTCTTCTCCATTTGTTTTGGTAAATTTTTTGTCATTTTGTTGCTACAGTACACAAAATTTGAGTAGAAAAATATTGGGTCAAAAACACACAAACCTATGTAACATCAAGTGTTTGATATGCAATTCTCTTAGAGAAGCTGTAACCCATTCACCCTCAGATTTTTCAGATTTTATTTAATCAAAGTTGGGGCAAAAGTTGGCTTGGTTCTGCAGAAGCGTCAATACTCTTCACATAGATAACTTGTAGCAAAGTCATGTATTGTTTAATTAAAAGATTTTTTCTTCATATATATTTTTAAATGAGTTGTAATATACAATACTTTTATTAGAATTTGATCTTAAAAGTGTATTAAATACAATGAAATAATGTATTTATCTATGACATCAGCTGGAATAATAATAATTTAAAGGCACATAAGCGCCTCTGCGCCTTTGTACCACAACTATTTATGTAATCTCATCAATACAAAGTTTATTTTAGAAGAATATGTTAATTAATGTGAGAAATAATAAGGCTATATAGTCTATCAAGCTTAAAGGAGAAAAAAAAACGCCTAAAAAGTATCAAGATTTTTATTTCCTTAATAAATTTCTTTAGATTGAACAGAGAGAGTGAGAGTGAAAGAAAGAGAGAGAGAGAATGAATGAAAGAGAGTGTGAGTGAGAGAAATAGTGGGACAGAAAGAAAGGGTGAGAGAGAGGGACAAAGAGAAAGAGTGAGAGGGAGAGAGAGAATATAAAATATATATCAATATTATTAACAAATATAATAATAATATTATATTGATATAATAAATATATATCAATATAATATAGAAATATCAATATTCTCTTTGTTATTGTTTTGTAATCAAGGACTAAGGATTTAGTATTCAATACTCAGCTAGCTTGCAAGTTTCCAGTTTTGGCGATCATACCGGAAGATTGGTTTCTCCGCCTAAGAAAATGATAAATATTTATAAAATTGTTTTTTCCCATATTATATGTTGTGTATCTAATATAAAAAATTTTATCAATTAAATATTCATTAAATTAATTGCTCTATACTTCTTGGAGTGTTGTTTTTTAACTTAATTTAAGTAAACATTTTAAAATTAAACAAATAAATTAAGCGATTTATTAGCTATCCTAACCAATTGCATATATTGATGAGATTCATATGTTTATTTTATAAATGAAATAATAGCGATTGCAGCAACATTTTCATTAAATTTATATATTTAAGTAATGCTGATATCAAGTGATACGAAAAGATAAGATATTTACATCCGTTTGAAATCAATAAGAAATTTATTTAGATACGTGTTTAATTGAAAATGAAATTATTTGTTAAAAGACATAACAGGCAAGCATTTATCAAAAATAATGATATTCATTCGAGAGTAAACACAATTCATTAAACTCATTATTGCATGACAATATTGAAAGCAATAACATTTCATTTATTTATTATGATTAAATTAATTTTATTATATAAAAGGCATAAATTAAAATCTGAATATGCGTGAAATGCATATATTTGCTTAAATTTGCACTTAAACAATGAAGAACTTAACTTCAAACTTCAAGTACAAATGTAAAATCATTGAATCGCACAGATAAACAAATGAACCGATAAACATGTTTGTATGCATGTTATGTATATAAACATTGTATATACATAAACATATGGCTACATGTAGTATACAGCGTAAAGTTTTGTTTTTGCCGCGAATACATGCGTCTCGAGTGCGGTCCGCTAGTTCGGTATATATTTCCTGCAATTGAAGTGTTGTAACAACAAAAAGTTCTTAAATGCGGTGGAATATAATGTACTCACTTGGAGCGATAAAGAGCTGCAGCCGATAAGTGTTATTTTTTAAAAAATTTCATTTTAAATTATTCAACTTTTTGAATTTACATATTTTGTTTTTATTTTTATTGAATTTGTTTGACTTTGTGCGCTTTTTTGTTTTGCAAAATAATTGCACACATATAAAATCAGCTGATAGAGACAGCAATTGAAATTATTAAACAGAAACATTATAAAGTGAATAAGTGTTACAAAACGATCAAATAATTAGACCAATTGTTACACAAAAACCTAAACAATCGTGTAATCTTGTACACTGATTTAGCAATTTAGCAGAATATTTTAATTTAATTAGCAAATTTTAAATTTATTAGCAAATTTTAATTTTTACTTGAATTTGGAATTTTGAGCATTTGAAATTTACAGGTATTAAATTATTTTAATTTAATTAATTTAGGATACCCTTTTAATTTAATTAAATCTAATTAAATTAATAGGGTATCGAAAAGGTATGAGTGGGCAAAAAACATCACCTCTGCGGAAACAAAACGCAGTACAAAAAACAATGGAGAAGGAGGTATTAAACATACCTTTATCCCCCAAGCCTGACGATAGTGTAGAGGATAAGCTGGTACAACTATCTGCGATGATGGAATCACAAAGGCATATTAATAAGGATATGCGGGATCTGCTTGCACAGATAGTTAAGATGTATAAGACGGAACAAGAAAGGGGGCCACAAGTGCCGTTGGTGGCTAAGAGTGTAGCTTCCATTAGCGTGCAAACTCAGGGAGCACTAAAGCGTGCTGCGAAAGAAAAACCGAACGGTCCACCACCCAAAGTCCAAATTAGGGAAATTGGAAGTAAGGAGCAGGAAACGAATTTTCACAAATGGCAGCTAGTGCAAAAGAAAAAAGGGAAAACTGTGCCAAATCTGGACCTCATTAAAGCGCCTAGAGTAAAACCGGAAGCAATTCTCATTAGTAAGACGGCAGACAAGTCTTACGCTGAAATGTTAAAGATCATTAAAACAAAACCAGAGCTACAAGAATTCGGAAAAAACGTGAACAAAATCCGAAAAACTAAAGAGGGGGACATATTGATTCAGCTTACCAAAGAAGCTGGAAATTTAGCGAAGGACTTCTGCAATGAAATGAAAAACACACTTCAGAATTGTGCTAGTGAAAAATCTTTAACACAGCACACCCTAATAGAATGCAGGGATTTGGACGAGATAACATCCAACGAAGAGGTGCGCGCGGCGATTGCTGATCAATTTCCAGCAATAAATGTAAGTGACATCAACGTCAAGTTTTGGCGTGCCGCAAGGGACAGCACAAGATCAGCAATTATTGACCTTCCTACTAAGGATGCCAGTATATTGATTGCAGCTGCCTCAGTCAGAGTTGGCTGGGTACGCAGTAGGATCAGAAAGCATATCACACCCATGAGGTGTTTCAAATGTCTTCAATTTGGACACGCTGCTAGACAGTGCAAAAGCGATAATGACAGATCAGGCACATGTATGAGATGTGGACAAGATGGTCACAGGGCAAAAACGTGCTCGGCGCAACCAAAATGCATCCTACGTCCGGAAAACTGCAACGGTGGCAATCTACACTACTCAAGAAGTTCCAAATGTGAATTCTACAGGAAGGCTATACAGGAGCTTAAGTCCAAAAAATGATTAAATTTCTGCAATTGAACCTAAATCGATGCGAAGCTGCCCAAGACCTTTTATCCCAAACAGCTTTGGAATTAAAGACAGATGTACTCATAATTAGTGAGTTTTACAAATCAAAAGAAACCTCCAAATGGGTACAAGATATTACTGCAAAGGCTGCCATTTGGCTAGGACAGGACATAGTGTTTGAACCAAGAGTATTGATACAAAAAGAAGGTCTAGTACTTGTCAGAATCCGGGGTATCTATGTGTGCAGCTGTTACATATCCCCAAATATCTCCCAAGAGAGATTTGAAGAGTTTCTTGATAGGCTATCAGGAACAATCAGAAACAAAACTCCCATCATTGTTGCAGGGGATTTCAATGCTTGGGCAGTCGAATGGGGCAGTAGTAATACAACGCGCCGAGGTAGAGCCCTATTAGAAACGTTTACCTCACTAAACCTAATACAACTGAACAATGGGCATAGCCCAACGTTCGATAATGGTAGAGGCGTTTCCTACATAGATCTCACCTTTGTCAGCCCGTCATTAGTAAGGGGTTCGCAATGGAATGTAACAAACCACTACACCCACAGCGACCATCATGCAATTCTTTTTTCCTTATCGCTAAAAGAGAAGTTTGTTTTGAAAAAATCGCAGAGAAAAGCACAGCAAATAGGCTGGAAAACTAAGTATCTTGCCACAGAGATAATGGAATTCATGACCGAAAACATGAGTTTCGGAGTCGGGGATGCTTTTGAAAAATCAAATCACCTTATGAAGGAATTATGCAACGTCTGTGATGCATCAATGCCAAGAAAAGGCAGAGGTAATGGGCGCCCATCAAACTATTGGTGGACGGAAGAAATAGCTTTACTAAGATCTCAGTGCTTTGCCTCCCGTAGGCAATTTCAACGTCACAGATCGGGAGTAGATGCGGAAAGGCTTCTACAAAAATACCGAGAGAACAGATCTAAACTTAAAAAGGCAATTATTAGGAGTAAGAATCAAGCT